TGGCGGAAATCTTCTTCATCCAAACTACAAAATAATTATAAATTAAATATATTAACTTTAGTAATGAAAACAGAAGTATGCTATGAAAGATAAATATAACACATGAACTTTGGGCAAAAAAAAAACAATACATAATAAAATTGGACACACATAAAGAACAATCACATATAAAGGTCAATTGTCCAAAACATAAACAACGGAGATTAAAAAATTGTGCTTAACATAAACATAACATAGAAGATTAGAAAATAAAGTACATTAATAACTCAAACATTCAGACGTCCATGAAAGATTGCAAGTATTTCACACGATATTTCGGTTCCAACTTCATAAAAAACTGTCTGATGGTTGGGTCTCGCAACACCTTCACGTATTGAATGTAGTCATCATCGTCTGCCTTAACATCAGAGTATGTATTCAAGACCTGAAGACACTCATCAATTGAGCTGTCCTGCGAAGAAGAAGACCGAGCTTTACATGTTTCAACTAGTGCATCGATAGTCCCTTTAATAAAAGCAACCCCTTTGTTCTTCTTCTCTACCCTGGGCCGCTTGGACACACTTGTGGATTGAACATCTGTGTGCACATGGCTAGGGCGGTCTCCTGAATCACCTATCTGTACGGTATCCATCTCTTGAACTGAGCTGCTCAACCCTATATCATTTGGGGTAAACGCATGAGAGCCTGTAGCGACAACCCCAGTGAACATTCTATCTAGTTTTTCCTCCATTACTGGATCAATGCCAACAAATTTAAATTTTTTGGCTGACGGCACTGCCTGTTATAAATAACAAATGTGCATTAATAAAGTAGTGTCAGGTCAATGCGAAATTAGATTAAAGAGAAAGTAAAAAGATTAAATTATAGACCTGTAGTTTTTCAGCCCACCATTCCTCTGGTGCATCTATTGTGCGCTTAACAGGATCCCAGCCCATTCCTGTTGATCCCTGTTTTAGTTCTTTCCATAGTTTCCAATCCTTCTTTAACTGATCCCATTTGTTCTTCATTTTCATGCGATCGTAATCTCTTCCAGTCATTTCTTTGAATTTAACTTCAATATTTCGCCACCCTTCTTTGTTAAAAAATGTAGTGGGTCTATTTCCCACCTCAACCTCCCTTACACATAAATCACAAAAGATTATAGTAACTTCTCTATCCCACATGGCCGATGTTCCAGCCTCTCTAGCTTTACTCATTGAGTTCTGTCAGATATACGGATGGGCATAAAATATTTCTTTTCATGACAATAAAAATAATAAAACAAAAAGAACAATGTTTCATACCGCTATTGTAACGTTTAAAATGTGAAATACACAATATAAAAATTGAGTGATACGTTTGTAAATCTTCCTAAATAATATTTATTTCTCATAAAGGTTTCATTTAACAAAATCTATTTCTTGCAGGAAATTGAGAAACTTATGATAGGACACATCAATAAATGGCAAGTCATAACTTAATTCAATTGTGATGAAAGAATAAGCAATAATTCGATAAGATTTCATTAAACAAAATTATGTTGAATAGTGGGCAAGGTTAACTAAATCAAAAAAATAAAAAGATTTGTTGCAGGAAATTGGGATACCTTCACAGCAAATTCTGCTAGAAATGAATATTTATCATATTGCAAAAGGAGATACCAACACAAAAAATAATTAATTATTTTAAAAA